TTTTTGATCTATCGTAGAGATGAGGTCTCGCTGCCCAGGCAGGTCTCGAACCCGTGGGCTCAGGCAGTCCACTCATCTCAGCCTCCCAAAGGCGTGGGGTTACAGGCTGAGCCACCGAGCCCGGCTTGGACCCTATTTTTAATTGACCAATAACATCACCCACTAGGTTGTTTACAAAGAAGTTCTCTGGTACAGGAATTCTTTCTTTATTAGCTCTTACAACTAGATTTTTGTTCGGAATGCTATTATTTAAATTGTAAGCTTGTGAGGCAGTTTTCTGTCTAGCTTAAAGCTAATTCTTCTCAAATGTTTGTTTATGACTTTAAGTATATATTTGTACATGTGCATATTTGAAGTTTGTGCACTTGATACCCATACTTCAAACATCTTGTGAATTAAGGGAGGACACTTATCATTTTTAGAAGTATTGTAGTTATTGGGCTGGGTGCATTGGCTCACGCCGGTAATCCCAGCACTTTGGGAGGCTGAGACAGGAGGATTTCTGGAATCCAGGAGTTCAAGAGCAGCATGGGCAAGAAAGCAAAACCACATCTCTACAAAAAATAGAAAAATTAGCTGGGCATGTTGGCATGTGCCTATAGTCCCAGCTACTTGGGAGGCTGAGGCAAGAGGATCACTTAAGGCCAGCAGGTCAAGGCTCCAGTAAGCCATGATCATGCCACTGTACTCCAGCCTGAGCAACAGAGTGAAACTATGTTTAAAAAAAAAAAAAGAATATTGTATAATAGTTACTATAAAGAAATGGGAAGCACTCTCAGGCTTCCCTGGAGAAATCACTGTGGTCAGAGTTGTCTTCCAAACTAATTCTTCAGTTCATCTAGATTCTTTACTTGGGGCCTGAGTCATCTAGAATCCATATTTGTTAACACACAAGGGGCAACCACCTTTTCAATGACCAGATTCCTTGTCTGCCATCCAATGTACATATTATGGTTACCAAGACTCATAAGAAATCTAGAGATTTATAGCAAAGAACCTGAATAATCTCAAAGGACATTTTCCCCAAGTTGTGGTAGTGATTCTGCTTCCTTATTCATTTATTTATTTATTTAATTAGAGGCAAGGACTTGCTATGTTGCACAGGTAGGCCTTCTGGACTCCTGGACTCAAGTGTTCTGCCTTTCAAGTAGCTGGGACTGTGGGTGCGCACCACCACGCCTGGCTTTATATTGCTTTATTTCTTTTATTTTTCTTTTACTTTTTTTAAGAAAGAGGGTCTTACTCTGTTTCTTAGGCTGCCAGGCTGGACTGCAGTGGCATAATCATAGTTCACTGCAGCCTTGAACTCCTGGGCTCAAATGATCCTCTCGTCTCAGCCTCCTGAGTAGCAGAGACTACAGATGTAAACCACCATACCTGGCTGAATTTTTGTATCTACAGTGTCTCACTATGTTGCCCAGGCTGCTCTTGAACTCCTAGCCTCAAACAATCTTCCAGCCTTAGCTTCCCAAAGTGCTGCAATCATAGATGGGAGCCTATTTTGTTTCCTAATGCTCCTTTCTCTAGCTCTTGCAAAGCATAAGCATGCCCTTAATGAGTGGTGTCTTTTCCAATATCGTACTTATCTCACATCATTAGTAAGAAGAGCCGCTACTTCATGCCAAACACTATGTAAGAAGTGATTTCATGCATTCTCTCATCATCACAAAACAACTCTAAATTGGTTTCATCTCCATTTTACAGGTAGAAAAACTAAGACTCGTTTACCCAAAGTGTCACAGCTAGCAAATAGAACCAAGTTGGAATTTAACCAGCCTGAGTCCAAAACCCATGTTTCTTATACAAAAGAAGTCTCCTACTTCAGGTTAATTATTAGGATGGCTTCTTGACGTCCTCAGCTTCCCATCAGTAGTCCATCTTCCTGAGGACAGGGACTTGATTCACGGCTGTGTTCTCAAAGCCTTGAACAATGCCTGGTATGTAAAGACAATAAATATGTGTTGGGTTATATGAAGAGGACCCCCCAAAAACAGAATTACCTTTTGGAGGGTGGGCCCTTGTAGTACAGGCTTCCCTGGCTAGGTCAGTGTTCTAGGAACCCATTGGCATCAGTGTACCAGCTAGCATTGTTGTGAGAGGCTGTGTTCACTTTCAATGAATTTGTTTTGGAGATTCTTTCAACACCTTTGCCCATTTCATGATGGGTAATTTACAAGTGCACCTGCCCACACAGCACTGAGTGTTCAGCAGTTTTTGACCAAAAACATCATGACCTCTGTGTCCCATCCTCCCTATTCAGCCGCTGTCACCCCAAACGACTTGTTTTTATTTCCTCGGATGAAAAAAGTCCTCAAAGGGAAACATTTTGCTGAGGTGGAAGAGGTAAAACCAAAAATGGCAGAAGCACTAAAAGGCACCCAAATGGACAAGTTCAAAAACTATTTTGGGCAGTGGAAAACGCATCTTGCTAGGTGCATTGCACCAAACGGAGAGACCTTTGAAGGTGACTGAAGTTTAAACATGTAGGAATAAATACACAGTTTTTTATAAATAAATTCTAGGTTCTTCTGGGTCCCTTTTCCTATATGACTGAGTGGTTTCTACTCTGGGGAGATTACTGAAGAGTACCTTTCCTGTGATGTCTGAACCTTCCCCTTATCCAGCCACATTTTCAGGCTACTCCCATTTCTCCCTCCCTTCAACTCCAAACTTCTTGAAAGAACAGTCTCGGCCAGGCTTGGTGGCTCAGCCTGTAATCCCAGCACTTTGGGAAACTGAGGCGAGTGGATTGCCTGAGCCTGTGGGTTTGAGACCCGCTCGGACAACTTGGCAAGACCTCATCTCTACAATAAATTTTTAAAAATTAGCTGGGTGTAGTAGTGTGTGCCTGTAGTTCCAGCTACTTGGAAAACTGAGGTGGAAGGATCGCTGGAGCCCAGCAGGTCGACACTGGGGTGGCCGTGAATGTGCCACTTCTCCAGCCTGGGCGAGAGAGTGAGACTCCAACTCAAAAAAAAAAAGAACAGTCTCCACTTGCCTCCTCCGTCTCCTTCCCTTAAAGCTTAAGTGATTCCCCCCTTAAAGCTTAAGTCTTGCTGTCAACATTTCTCCTGGATGTTACCAGGGACCTCCAGTTAGCAAATCCACTGTACAAATCCCAGTCCTTATCCTGTTCTTCCTCTCTGAAGAATGTGGCAGTGTTGACTGCTCATTCTTTTGACTTCCATGAATAAGGGTGAACTGTGGGTTTCTCTGAAGCCCCCTTCCTTCACTTATCCTTTCTTATTCGTATCCCTTCTGTATTCATATCTCTATCTCCCCCTCCCCTTTTTTTTTTGAGTCTCTGTTGCCCAAGCTGGAGGGCAGTAGCACAATCACAGCCACCGTGCACAATCACAGCCGCCTCGGCCTCCTGAGTAGCTGGAACTACAGGCACACCCAGCCAATTTTTTTTTATTTCTATTTTTGTAGGGATGAGGTCTCACTATGTTGCCCAAGCTGGTCTCGAACTCCTGGGCTCAAGCAGTCCTACCACCTCAATCTCCCAAAGTGCTGGGATTCCATGTGTGAGCCACTGTGCCTGGCCCAGCTCTTCCTTCTTTATACACTTCCCCTTGACTTTCTTTTTTTTTTAATTTTTAATTTTAAAGATGTGGGGTACAATTCAGGGTTAGGTATACAAATGTTCATTATGCAGGTACCCTTGTTGATGAAGTGTGATCCCCCTTGACTTTCTAAACGCCTCCATGAGCACCACCAATCTGATGACTCCTCATCTCTTCAACACTGAGCCAGGCCGTGTTCCCAGTGACATCTCCCTCTTCCAGCAGTGCCCTTGGTGCTGGAGAAGCAAAGCAGCGGTACACATACTGGAAGCAACACTCCCACCTTCTAGAGCTCACGTTCTAGGATACAAGACTCATCTCTGTTTCCTGTGGCTGTCCCACCAGCTCCAGTAGTCCAACACACCCCAGGATGAGCTCATCACTTTCCTATGGGATCTGCTTTTCCTCTTGTTCATGGCACCATCATCCTCCTGTTAACCCAAAAGAGACTCCAGAGTCTTTTTTTTTTTGAGTCGGGGTGTTACTTTGTCACCCAGGCTGGAGTATGGTTCACAGCAGCCTCCAACTCCCTAGGGCTTAGATGATCCTTCTGCCTCAGCCTCCTAAGTAGCTGGGACTACAAGCACGTATCACCACATCCGCCAATTTTTTAAGAAATTTTTTTGTGGAGGGGAAGTCTCACTATGTTGCCCAGGCTGGTCTTGAAATCCTGAGCTCAACCAGTCTTCCCACCTCAGCCTCCCAAAGTGCTGGGATTGTAGGCATGACCCATCACACCAGCCTGAGCCTTTTTGAGCCATCTTTCTCCCTGGCTCCAACTTCCAAATGAGTTTCCAAGTTTGTTGGTCACTGTGGTGGCATTCGCTTTCTGTCCCTTCTGTCCCTTCTCACCTTCACTGTGCTGGTTCAGGCCTTCTCACCTCTTGGTTATTGCAGGCCACATAACTAGGCTGTGTTGGGGCTCCCAAGACCAACCTCAGGTTCATGGTCACTAGAAGGACTCACAGGACTCTGCTGAGGCAGGCACACAAATAAGGTGGAGGATGGGGAAAGAATTCAGAGCAAAAGCAGCAGAAGAAAAAGGCACTTGGTGGAGTCTGGGGGAGCCGGTGCAGGCTGGAGCGGCCCCCGGCAGAGTCACATGGATGTGCTGAATCCCTCTGGAACAAGTTGTGACAAGACGTGACTGTCAGAGACTCTGTGTCTAAGGCTTCCGGGGTCCTGGTACTGGGCCTGGAAAGACTGAAGCCTCTTTTCTGGCTTCAGGCACCCTATGGATAGCATGTGTGTTGCACATCAGCCACATTGCTTGCATGAGTGACGTAGGCATGTGAGCTGCTCTGACCAAGCAGTGAAAGTTTTGTTGTTGTTGGATTTTGTAGGGGGTTTTTGTGTGGTTTTGTTACTATTGTTTTTGAGTTGGAGTCTCACTCTGTGGCCCAGGCTGGAGTGCAGCGGCATGCTCGTGGCCACTGCAGCTTCTACCTGCTGGGCTCCAGCAATCCTTCGGCCTCAGCTTTCCAAGTAGCTGGAACTACAGGCACATGCCTCCTTGTCCAGCTAATTTTTTTTGTTGTTACTTATCGTAGAGACAAGATCTCACCAAGTTACCCAGACTGGTCTCAAACCCTTGGGCTCAGGCAATCCTCTTGCCTTTGTCTTCCAAAGTGCTGGGATTACAGGCGTGAGCCACAGTACACTGCTGTTTTTTGTTTTGTTTTAATTTTTTTTTAAATAGAGATGAAGTCTTACTATGTGTCCCAGGCTGTTCTCGAACTCCTGGGTTCAAGCAATCCTCCTGCCTCTGCCTCCCAAAGTGCTGAGATTGCAAGGCGTGAGTCACCACGCCCAGCCAGCAGGGAAAGTTTTATACCAGAGTGGAGAGCTGTTTAGCAGTTAAGTTCCCAGGTGCCAGCCAGGTCTCGATCTTGCAGATAGGCCTTCTTTAGGACAGGCTCTCAGGCCTCCCAAGTTCACTCTTTTCTGCACATGAGCCCTCTGTTCTGCCCCACTTTGATCTTGCCTGCTGCCACCAGGACAACTCTGTTCTGGGCCTTGCAGAAACTTTCCCTTCAGGGACTCCCTCACACCTGCCCTTCACAGCCTGACCACAGTCTACCTTTCAGCCTTTTCTTCATCCTGAAAATGCCCTTCCCAGCCAGGCGCCCATAATCCCAGCACTTTGAGAGGCTGAGGTGGGAAGATCACTTGAACACAAGAGTTTAAGACCTGCCTGGGCAATATAGTAAGACCTCATCTCTACAAAAAAATTTTAAAAATTAGCCAGGGGTATTGGTGTACACCTCTGTCCCAGCTACTCGGGAGGCTGAGGCAGAAGGATTGCCTGAGCCCAGGAGGTCGAGGATGCCGTGAGCCATGGTTGTACCACTACACTCCACCCTGGGCAACAGAGTGAGAGACCTTGACTCCAGACGAGTTCTTACTCTGTTGCCCAGGCTGGTCTCAAACTCCTAGGCTCAAGCAATCTTCTTGCCTCAGCTCTCAACGCTGGGATCACAAGCATGAGCCACCGTGCCTGGCCCAGCATAATTTCTTTATACTTCTTGTGTGCTTATCATCATCTACCTTCTATTTTACTTGTTTAATACAACTTTTATTTCCCTACTTATTATAAACTTTGGAAGGAAAGGATCCTGGTTCATCTTAATACCCATTAAGCCAAAGAAGCTTCTGGCACCTGAGAGAACCTCTGTATTTGTGGACCAAATTCCAAGTGCTGCATGGAGCTCATTGGCACTTCATGGACTTGTCCCTCTCTTGGCTGTAATTTTCTCCTGGGGCCTTGAGTCATCCAGCCCTGGAAAACAGTTCCCCGGGAAGTCATCTATCTGTCTAGTAATCTAAAGGCTAAGAGCTCAGACTCAGACAAACAGCCCTGGTGTAGGCTCCTGACTCGACCCTCAAAAGCTTTGGGACTAAGTTGATCTCACGAAGCCCCAGGACCCTCTATCCTAAAATGGGTCTGATAACTGTACAAGAACTAAATAAGAAAACACTTAAGAAGCGCCATGTTAAGCACATTACCCAGCTTGATAAGACTTATCACATACCTTTTTTTTTCTTTTTATTTCTTTGTTGTTGTTGTTCTTTTATAAGAGACAGTCTCACTATGTTGCCCGGGCTGGAGTGCAGTGGCTGTTCACAGGCCTGATCCCACTACAGATTAGCATGGTAGTTCTAACCCGTTATGTTTCCAGCCTAGGCTGGTTCACCCCTCCTTGGGCAACCCTATGGTCCCCCACTCCCAGGAGGTCACCATATTGGTACTAAACTTAGTGTAGACACTCGATTGGCATAGAGCGCTACAGCCCAGAACTCCTGGACTCAAATGATCCTCCACCTTGAGTAGCTGTAACTACAGGCATGTGCCACTGCACCCGTCTGCTTTTTATTTCAATAGCTTTAAGGAATGAAAATAGTTTTGGGTTACATAGTTACATCTATACTAGCAAAGAAGTCTGGGCTTTAAGTGTACCCACCACCCCCACCTGTGTTATTACACACTTTATCTTACCAGGAACCAACTGTCTTTGTAGCTGTCACAAGTACACGAGGTCCAACAATGAGGTTAGCAAACCATCCTAGGAAAAGCGCTGTATACCTCATTGCTGAATATCACTGTGGTCACCTTAGAAGTACTCCCTTTGGGAAGCTATGTACCGACCTATCAAAGCAGTTTTGGAGCTCTTTCTGGAATGGCCATCAGAGCTGTCATCATTTGTTGAGGTGTGGCAATTAAGTTCATGAGCTTGCCATAGTGCACTTCAGTTGGCAGCACTGTACAGGTGATTGTATTGGAACACTGTCCCTACTCACCTAATCTGGCCCCCAGTGACTTTTTTCTTTACCCAAAGATAAAGGAAATGTTGAAAGGAAGACATTTGATGGCATTCAGGACATCAAGGGTAATACGACGAGAGCTCTGATGGCCACTTCAGAAAGAGTTCCAAAATTGCTTTGACGGGTGGACTAGGCACTGTTGTGGTGCATAGCTTCCCAAGGGGAGCACTTCCAAGGTGACCATAGTGATATTCAGCAGTGAGGTGTGTAGCACTTTTTCTAGGATGGTTTGCGAACTTAATTGTTGGACCTCATATTCCACTAATTTTTACTGTTTGGTTTTTTGTTGTTGTTTCTGAATTAGCTGGATCTACACAAGTGAAAAAGACTTGAATGGGAGCAGCCACTGGGGAATCATTGCAACTTACAGCGGAGCTGGCTATTACCTGGATTTGTCAAGAACAAGAGAGGAGACAGCTGCACAGGTTGCAAGCCTCAAGAGGAATGTCTGGCTGGACCGAGGAACCAGGGCAACTTTCATTGACTTTTCAGTGTACAATGCCAACGTCAACCTGTTCTGCGTGGTCAGGTGTGTGCGGAGGGCATGCGCCCCTCCTGTCTCTGTATAGCTTTGTGTATATCCTACTTTGGAGATAGACCAGGAAACTTCTGCCTGCACTTAGCTACTGGAGGGTGCCCAGGATCCAGACCGAGGGGCTGAAACTGAGGACTTCTTGATTAAGGATATTTGGAAAGGAAGTTAGGATCTGAGACTACTGTACGTTAGAAAGAACCTTAAGTTTGGTCTGAGCTCATCTTAATGCTGGAAACTTTCCAGAAAAAACACTGTGTATCACGCACATCTATCCTTACTCACTTTAGGGATGACGGGTGCCACGTGCTTCGTCCCTGTGTCCCCTGGCCATCAGTCTTGCCTCATTTCCCTGGGCTTTCCACTCTCGGATGCTGCTCAGGCTGTGAGAACATGGGCACAGTCGTCAGGGGCTAGGCCTGATGTGCAGTAGGATGTCCAGGTACCTTACTCACGCTCAGGGCTACCAGATGCACGTAAAGTCCCTTCCACAGATCCTGTGATGTTACCATCAGGACTCTCCCGGGAGAAAGGAAGTTGTCAATAGACCCCCTGGTTTGTCTGGGCCTCTCATTCATTCAGCAAACATTTATCAGATAGGTAGTATGTGCCAGGCACCGTTCTAGGCTTTTGGGAAGCATCCATGAATAAAACAAAGATCCCTGCCCTTTCTTTTTTTTTTTTTTTTGAGTTGGAGTTATGTCACCCAGGTTAGAGGGCAGTGGCATGCTCTGGCCACCACAACCTCGACCTGCTGGGCTGCTGCGATCCTTCTGCCTCAGCCTTCCAAGTAGCTGGAACTACAGGTGCGCGCTACCACGCCCGGCTAATTTTTTTTTAATTTATTGTAGAGATGAGGTCTCGCCAAGTTGCCCTGGTGGGTCTCAAACCCACGGGCTCAGGCAATCCTCTCACCTCGGTTTCCCAAAGTGCTGGGATTCCAGGCTGAGCCACGGAGCCCGGCCTTTGCCCTTTTCATTTAACCTGTAACCAGGAGGAGATAAATGATGGACAATAAACAAAAGAAATGAATAATACGGACTATTAGAAAGTAGTAAGTGTTTTTGTGGGGGGTTTTGTTTGTTTGCTTGCTTGTTTGTTTTTGAGTCGGAGTCTCACTCTGTCGTCCAGGCTGGAGTACAGAAGCACGTCACGGCTACTGCAGCCTCGACCTGCTAGACTCAGGCGATAATTACACCTCAGCCTCCCGAGTAGTTGGAACTAGAAGCATGTGCCACCACGCCCGGCTAATTGTCTTATTTATTGTAGAGATGAAGTCTTGCCAAGTTGCCTAGGCTGGTCTCGAACCCCTGGGCTCGGGCAATCCTCTTGCCTCGGCCTCCCCAAGTGCTAGGATGACAGGAGTGAGCCACTGCACCTGACGTAATAAGTGTTGTTTTAAAAAAAGAAAAGAAAAGAAAGAAACAGTAGGGCAAAAGGATCCAGAGCTCACCCTCGTTAGTCTTGCTGGCGAGCATGTTGGCAATGCCCACACACGGCCATCGTGGGTTACCTGCACTTAGGCTGATGCCCAGTAAAAGAGGCGCGTGCTCTCGCGAAAGACACAGGACAAGAAAGGTGTGTTTTCGCAAGAGTCTGACTTAATACCCAACTCCATGTGGCCTGCTGGATTTTCCAGTCCTTGTATTTAATAACTTTTGTAGAAAATAATATCACATTCAGTCAAATACAGGTTGAGTATCCTTCATCAAAAATGCTAGGGACCAGAAATGTTGAAGATTTCAGGTTTTGGAATATTTGCATATCCCTCATGAGATGTCTCGTTGATGCGCCCCAAGTCTAAACACGAAATTCGTTCACCCTATACACATGGCCTGAAGGTCATTTAATTTTAACCTTGGGGACACCAAATCAACTTGTGTGTCGTGCACCAGCGTTTTGGCTGTGACCCATCATGTAAGATCAGGTGTGCAATTTTCCACTTGGGATGTCATGTCAGTGCTCAACAAGCTTTGGATCTTGGAGCAGTTCAGATTTCGGATTTTGCTATTAGGGTATTTAACCCATAGCCTATCTTACTAGAAATGAGATGAAAATCTACTGCACTCATTGAGCTTCTCCTAACGACTCCAATGAGGATAAAGGAATAGGATTAAAAAGCAAGAGGATAAAAACAGGCAGCCGATTCTGACTGACATTGAGTAAATATCTTGAGTATTTATTTTGCCTCCCCCCATACTTAAGGATGAAGCAATGACTTCACTTCTCTCCACTGTTTTCTGAGTTTCTGGAAGTAGTTGACCAAATGCAGGCCAGAAGGGCCATGAAGAGATGACTTGACCCGAGAGGCCACTTCCTTTCCTGCTGAGGTCCCCTGAGGCTGTCACGCATAACATACTCCACTTCTGTATTGGTCTCCTGAGCTGTTGGTTCTCACACCTGCTCTCCCACACGTCAAATAGGAGGGAATGAACTGGGGAGTTGACAATGCAGAGGAAGAAAGATGTTCACGCTTCTCTGACCAGTTCTGATTTGCCATAGTCTCTGTCTTTACTTGATAAATATATATATATATATTTTTAAAATTTTTTTTAGTAAAGTTAGGGTCTCACTATATTGCCCAGGGTAGTCTTGAACTCCTGGCCTCAAGCAATCCTCCTGCCTCAGCCATCCAAAAATGCTACGATTGCAGTCATGGCCACCACACCCAGCCCTTTTACTTGATGATTGCTCCTGCATGGGCCTTGAGTGCTCAGGTTCTGAGTGTGGCTACCTATCTTTCATGGGAGGGGTAGTGATGGCTGATCACTGGGTAAAAGACTTTACCTTTGAAGTGTTAAAATTAAGGAAACTGAAATTCTGTTTCTAGTTAGATGGGAAGACTGAAGCATTTAGTGAATCACTCAACTTTCTCAGCAGAATACCTACAAGTTGGGAATTTGGCAAGAAAAAAATCCTCAGTTCCATTATGGTAATGAAAGTAGAAGAATGTATGTTACTGTTTCAGACCATTAGCAATGCATTGAGTACCTACCTATTAACTAAAAGGCTCTGGGAAAGGGAGCAAAAAAGTCCCCAGACAGGGACAAACTCTTCAGTGCTGGTCATGTGGCACCTGATGCTTGAAGGAGAGATTCAGTTTCTGTCTCTTTCTACATACAAAGTATACATGCTACTTCTCAACTGGATCACTGTGTTTTGAGTGCATGGCTTATATTTCCTTTGTTCTTCATGTTGCCCAGTAGAAAGACTTACATTTAATAGAAGTCCTTGAAATGCTTATTTGTTAATTAATGTTTGCATTTTAAAGAAATTATGCAGGCCGGCATGGTGGCTCACACCCGTAACCTCAGCACTTTGGGAGGCCGAGGTGGGAGGATCACTTGAACCCAGGATTTCAAGACCAGCCTGGGCAACATAATGCAACCTCATCTCTACAAGAAAAAAAAAATTCGCTGGGTGTGGTGGCACATGCCTGTAGTCCCTATCTGCTTGGGAGTCTGAAATGGAAGGATTGCCTGAGCCCAGGTGGTCAAGGCTGGTGATCGTCATAACGCCAGTGCACTCCAGACTAGGCGATAGAGTGAGACCCCGATTCAAAAAAATATTAAAGAAAGATAGAAATTATATAGCATTTTGAGCAGTATAAAAACCAGAAAAGTAGAAGAAAGACTGAGATGTAATTCTTTGAGGCTCAAAGACTGTTTTATTCTTTTTGTGGCAAGTATGGAGAGTTTAGCTGTGATAAAAATGTTTTGCTACTAGTTTGGGGTGTCTGAAGGAAGCAGTTTTATTTCCTGAGTGCAGGGACAGAAGAGATTCGCGTCCTTCCCTGGTTACATTTTATGTGTTGTTGTTGTTGTTTTAATTGTTCTTGTTGCAACGCAGGTTATTGGTTGAATTCCCAGCGACTGGCGGCGTGATTACATCCTGGCAATTTCAGCCTGTAAAGCTGATCCGATACATCACCACATTTGATTTCTTCCTAGCAGCCTGTGAGATTATCTTTTGTTTCTTTATCCTTTACTATGTGGTGGAAGAGATATTGGAAATTCACATTCACAGACTACACTATTTCAGGAGTTTCTGGAATTGTCTGGATGTTGTGATCATTGTGGTAGGTTTAAGAACAACACAAAATCCCCTATTCGGTTCTAAAAGCATGTTGCTTAGAGTCTTTGATCTCCTCAGCATTGTGATCTTAATATTCCCAAAAAATAATATCAAAATTTCCCTCAGTTATATCTATGTCTGTCCCTAATTATTTTTGTCGATCTGCATAAGTAACTTTGCTGAATATGAATTGGAGAGGTGTTTACAGTAAGCTCTCAGCAGCACCAATAACAAGAATATGTCTGTAATTCATATTTGGCTTTAATATATACCATAGGAGATATGGAAGAGAAAACAATGTTTGTTTGCTAATGATACTTTTCTTCAACTGCTAGTAAAAATTAATTTCTGTTTCTCTGACGTGTGTAAAGTTATGGCAAGAAAAAAGCATCCTGACAATATTTTGGTGGCAGAGAAAACCTTTGCAGTTTAAAGTTGCCTGCAAAATTTAAGTTATGTCCATTGAAGTTTTCTGTATGGGGTATAAGAAATCAAAGACGGCCAGGCTCGGTGGCTCAGACTGTAATCCCAGCACTTTGGGAGGCCAAGGTGAGTGGATTGCTTGAGCCCATGGGTTCGAGACCCGCCTGGGCAGCTTGGCGAGACCTCATCTCTACAATAAATCAAAAATTAGCCAGGTGTGGTAGTGCGTGCTTGTAGTTCTGGCTACTTGGAAGGCTGAGGCGGAAGGATCGCCAGAGCCCAGCAGGTCGAGGATGCGGTGGCTGGGAGCGGCCATTGCACTGCAGTCTGGGTGACAGAGTGAGACTCCAACTCAAAAAAAAAAAAAGAAATCAAAGGCAGAGTCATATAATCAAGATTATGGCACTTATAGATGCTGTGCCTGTACTTAACTTTATTATAATATCTAACGTTTATTCAGGATGTTTTCCTTTCATCATAATTAATTTTTTTTTTGAATCAGAGTCTTACTCTGTTGTCCAGGCTGGAATGCAGTGGCACACTCATGGCCACTGCAGTCTCAACCTGCTGGGCTCAGACAATTCTTCCATCTCAGCCTTCTAAGTAGCTGAAACTACAGGTGCATGCTACCACACTCAGCCAGTTTTTTAATTTATTATAGAGACAAGGTCTCATCAAGTTGCCCAGACTGGTCTCGAACCCCTGGGCTTAGGCAATTCTCTCATCTCAGCCTCCCAAAGTGCTGGAATTAATTATAGGTGTAAGCCACCTATGCCCTGCTAAAAACTGATTAATTAAGCATCATGTCAGTCACTTCCTTCCGGAGGCCTCAGTATAAAAATGAACTTTTGCAAACTTTCTCCCTTCAGTGATAATAGATCACCTTTTGCTGAGTCCTGCTATACACGTAAGCACAGAACAACATCCTTAATTGCTAGATGCTTACAAGTTTTGCTGGATGTAACTGTACCTTGTCTTACTCTGGGTCCATCCTTTCCACTGGCCTCAGATAGAAATGATCTTCTGAAATATCAGCGAAAGATGCATCATCCTAGCATTCTCTCTTCTCTTAACCTTCTTCATGGGGCTTCTTATTTCCTTCATCCCACTCCTAAAAATTTTTTGGCCTTTGACACATTTATATCAAGTAATTACCACACCATTTAACAAGAATCAGTTAATAAAATATTCTTTAAATGGTATTCATTTGTGAGTGAAAGAATACTAAATAATAAAAAAAAGATCCAGGCATGATGGCTCACGCCTGTAATTCCAGCACTTTGGGAGGCTGAGGTGGGATGATTGCCTGAGCCCAGGGGTTCGAGACCAGCCTGGGCAACACAGCGAGACCTCATCTCTACAATAAGTAAGTAAATAAATAAATAAATAAATAAATAAATAATAAATTAGCCGAGTGTGGAGATGATCTCTTATAGTTCCAGCTACTCAGAAAGCTGAGGTGGAAGGATAGCCTGAGCCCAGGAGGTCAAGGCTTTGGTGAGCCATGATTGTGCCACTGCCCCCCAACCTGGACAGTGAAGAGAGACCCTGACTCAAAAATAAATAGGTAGATAGAAAGATAGAACTACGTGGACATATATTACAAGGCAATAACAATATTAGCAGCAGTAATTATGGCAATAGTAGGACAACCCTCTTTCAGGTCCCCTCCCGCTTGGGAGCTTTTTTGTCTTCTTAATAAACTCTTCTGGAAAAAAAAATTATGGCAATAGTAGAAATAGTAATGGCTAACACAGAAACTACTGTGTGTTAGGTGCTGGTCAAGGTGTTTTTCGCATGCAGAAACTCGTCTGTTCCTCACATTCCTAACCCTCCTCACCACTCTGCCACTACCTCTCAAGCAATGGACTTGTGTTCTTCAAAAAATGTTTTACTTACAATAAAATTTCCTGTGAGAAAAAAAAAAAAGTTCCTGTAGAGTAGATAGCATGTGGAACCATCAGAACCTGATACATTTAGACATGTATCCTACCTTTCATGATGGCAGTGCAACGTCACACAGTTCACACAATTCAAGATAAACGCTCAACCCCCAAATTCTCATGTATTAATAATGAATAGAGTTATGAAAGAATTTCAGTATCTAAGGAGACAGGAGAAGTAATAATCCTGGAAAAAATTTGTCAAAATATTTCTGTTCCAAGTGATGGCAGGTTGCAATCCATCTACACTGAAAATCATTCTAGAATATACTTATTGTTTGCAACTCAGGATGCCAACCCTACCTCTGGGTTCATATGAGTTCATTTACTTTTAGGTCATAGAGAATAATGATAAAAAGGTCAGTGTGATAATGATTTTAAAAAGGTCTAGTTAATAACAGATTCTTTTTTTAACCAAATAACTTGGATATCAACAAAAGACCTAGTCAGTGGCATTCAACTTTTTTGATCATCCAAATCTACCAGTGAAAGTTTTTACTACATACCCTATTGTACTGTACTTATTTGTAAAGTGTGTGTGTGTGTGTGTGTGTGTGTGTGTGTGTGTGTGTGTGTGTATAGCAGGTATATCTTTAAAACCATATGTATACATAGAATGTAAAAGAATAGGATAAAAATTGATACAAATAGAATTGTAACCATTTTTTTTACCACCCACCTGGAAGTCATAAGATTTTCTTCCAACACCCAGTAAAATACCTGCTTTGGAAACCACTGGGAAAATAGCCGATGATATCACAGAAATTGAGAGTAATTCCTTTGACTCAGCAGCCATAGCATTTTGCAGATTTCTCCGAAAACTTGCTTCACTGTGCTTTTTAATTCGTTTAACTCTTAGTACTTCCAAGACAACAATTCAGACAGTGTAGTTTATACAGAACAAGGAAGGGCTACTGGAATCCCACTTGCCCTGGGAAACGTTCTCTGACGAAGCAGAAGCAAGGGCATGTGTTCTGCTGCCTTCTACTCAACCCTAAATGTATCCTACCTTCCCCCAGACCTTCAAACCAATGAAAACAACCAAGGCTTTTTGTTTCATTAATATCTGGCCTGAACGTGTTTACGTCCATCTGAAATGTAAAAAATAAATTAAATTCTAAATAGAAATATAGCTGGACGTGCGGGCTTATGCCTGTAATACTAGCACTTTGGGAGGCAGAGGCAAGAGGATTGCCTGAGTCCAGGGATCCAGGGATTCAAGACCAGCCTGGGCAACTTGGTGAAACCTCATCTCTACAATCAATCAAAAAACTAGCTGGGCATGGTGGCACACACCTGTAGTTCCAGCTACTTGGAAGGCTAAGGTGGAAGGATTGCCTGAGTCCATCAGGTCAAGGTTGTGGTGTCCATGAGCATGCCACTGCACTCCAGCTTGAGCAACAGAGTGAGACTCTGACTCAAAAGAAGGAAGGAAGGAAGCAATGTCTTGAAATCACTTTGAAAGTATTTTCCCTAGTTTTCTTTTTTGTTTCTCCAACAGATACTCTGATGCCTACAGGCTTGCATCAGCCAGCAATTTGTCCTAAGTGTTAGTCTTCCAAAACTAGCAGAATTACTGAAAAATTAAGACGTCTAAACTCAGATAATTTTGTCGATTACTAGGTCTAACAGGGTGAAAATGATGAATTCATTTCTTCAACAAATATTTTCTGAGTACCTACTGTGTATCTGGCACTGTTCTAGCCTCTGGGGATATAGAAATGAGCAAAACAGCCAAAGCCTCTGCCCTATGAAACTGATGCCCTGCTATGGAGAGAAAGTTCTTTTGCAGCTAGGAATGACAATCCCAAAGAAAAAAAATTAGGAGTGATGTAACCACCCAAATGCTCACAAAATCTCTTTCTTCATCTCTTTTCTCTCATTCCTTATTTGGGAGGAAACACTTTAAAGAAATATAGCGTGTTAATATGATATTGATATTGCATAAATAACCATCTGTCATATTTTTTAAACATTTGCCCCATGCAGAGTGAAAACAACTAGAATACCCAGCAAACTGTAATGGGTGAAATCTGGGTGAAGGGTTAATGTTGGATCTAGTCAGCTAGCTCACCTTCCCCATCGCTCTCAGCTAAGTTTATGTGGAAAAACATTTTCAGTGTAGCCCAGAGAAGTCAGAGAAAATATGCCTGCTATCTCCAGCACAAAAATGCAAGACTGGCCGGGCATGGTAACTTAAGCCTGTAAGTTCCAGCACTTTGAGGGACTGAGTCGAGAGGTTTGCCTGAGCCCATAGGTTCAAGATCAGCCTGGGCAGCATGGAGAGACCTCATCTCTACAGTAAAAAAAAAAAAAAAAAAATTAGCTGGGTATGGTGGCATGTACCTGTAGTTCCAGCTACCTGGAAGGCTGAGGCAGGAGGATTGCCCAAGCCCAGCAGGTCGAGGCTGCAATGGCTGTGAGCATGCCATTGCATTCCAGCCTGGGCGACAGACTGAGACTCCAGACTCAAAACAAAAAACAAAAAAACACAAGACTGGCTCTGGAAATCCTTCACAGATAATAAAAGGAAGGTGATGAGGTTGGCTTTTGAGTATGGTGTTGTTTTGTTTTGTTTGTTTTTGAGTCAGGGTCTCACTGTCACCCAGGCTGGAGGGCAGTCACTGGTCACTGGTCACCACATCGTCTACCTCCTAGGCTCAGGTGATCTTCTGGCCTCAGCCTCCTGAGTACACTACCACACTTGGCTAATTTTTTTATTTTTTGTAAAGATGAGGTCTCCCTATGTTGCCCAGGCTGGTCTCAAACTCCTGGGCTCAAGCAATCCCCTCACCTTAATTTCCCAAAGTACTGGGATGGCAGGCATGAGTCCCCATGCCTGGCCTGAGGCTGGCTTTTGAGCTGTGATCAGCAGCCAGGCTGATCTTTGCTATTAAAATCCCCTGGGACCATGATTAGAATGGCCATCCCAGGAAAGGCTGATGACGTGGTCTTTGGCCCTCATCCACCAGCAGAGAGGGAGAACCGAGATCCGAGAGTGAGGATCGTAGCCCCTCCCCAGCCCATGTGCTGCATATTCAGAACTCACCAGAGGCCAGGTTATGGTGAACCTCTGGCACTGTCTACACTCAGTGATAATGATGCCGGGTAGGGGCCGGTATCCTCAGACGTGACTGTAAAGCCCAGGACCAAATCATTTGTGAGAAGTTGTGGGGTCGTGAGTGAAAGGAGAGAAATAAGCAAGAGGAAGCCCTGGGGCCACATGCTTCCATGGCGGGCTTTCCTGTTCATCATTCCCACCATCTTGTAGGGCCATGCTCCTCTCTCTTCTTCTGAGCATTCCTTTCTACTATGTCTCATTTCACCCTTCGCCTTGTGTTGTGTGATGCCAACTCTTGAATAGTTTCTTTGTATTATTTTGTGTATCTAACTTTTTTTTTTTTTTTTAAGAGAAAGGATCTCACTCCATTGCCCAGGCCAGAGTGCAGTGGCACAGTCATGGTTTTCACCGCATTCTTTACCTCCTGGGTCAGGCAATCTTCCCACCTCAGCCTCCAGAGTATCTGGAACTATAGGCACATGCTACCACACCTGGCTAATTTTTGAATTTTTGTAGAGGTGGGGTCTTGCTGTGCTGCCCAGGCTGGCCTCAAACTGCTGGCCTCTAGTGATCCTCCTACCTTAGCTTCCCAAATTGCTGGGATTATAGGCACGCACCAACACTCCCGACCTTAACTTTGTGTTTTTAACTTGAACCCAAATATAAGTTTCTTGAGGGCAGGGTTTATGCAGTTTCCTTCTGTTTATTCCTCTTAGCCCCTCACATAGTGCTCCATACATAGACACCAATGATGTTTTTGTTGGACAGAAGAAAGAATGGATGACTGTAAATTAGAAAAGAAACCAGAAAAAAAAAATTAAATGTCAAACCCACAGACAAAAACAGAAAGCAAGATAAGGCACAGAAAGCAAAAGGGTAAAAGTGATTTAAATGAGTGGCAGAAAAAGTAGATGGCATATCTGGGTTTGCATATGTTATAAGGTGACCTCTGCTGTGTACACATGTGTGTGTATGTGTCCTCATGCAAGTGTGAGCACTCAATGGATTTCTGTTCCTGAATAAGGAAAGGCAAGTGATCTGTGGTTTTACTTGTTTGATAGCAGTGCTCCCCACTTGTCAGTTGAACAAGTGACTTTTATGAATGTCATTGGATAAGGATAGCAGAAAGCCCTAGAATTCCGATACAGGTGAGGCAACATTAAGGAGTTCTTGTAGGTGACTTACTATACTTCTAAAATGCTGTAATAAAATATGACTCTTGTTTTCCAGCTATCTGTGGTAGCGATAGGAATTAACATATACCGAATGTCAAATGTGGAGGTGCTGCTGGAGTTCCTGGAAGATCAAAATATGTTCCCCCACTTCGAACATCTGGCATACTGGCAAATACAGTTCAACAACATAGCTGCGGTGACAGTGTTTTTTGTCTGGATTAAGGTAATGTAGAAATTTCATGTTCTGGGCTTTTAATAATATTTTTTTTGAATCGGAATCTCACTCTGTGGCCCAGGCTGGAGTGCAGTGTCACGCTCACAGCTACCGCAGTCTCAACCTGCTGGGCTCAGGCAGTCCTTCCGCCTCAGTCTTCCAAGTGGCTGAAACCACAGGCATGCGCCACCATACCCAGCTAATTTTTTGATTTACTGTAGAGATGAGGTCTCGCCAAGTTGCCCAGGGTGGTCTTGAACCAATCCTCTCGCCTCCACCTCCCAAAGTGCTGGGATTACAGATGTGAGCCATCAAGCCTGGCCTCTTTTTTCTTTTTTTAGAGACAGCATCTCACTCTGTCACTCAGGCCAGAGGGCAGTGGTACAGTCATAGCTCACTGCAGCCTTGAACTTCTGAGCTCAAGGGATTCCCCCTCCCCAGCCTCCTGAGTAACTGGGACTTTAGGCATGTGTGGCCATGCGTGGCTAATTTTCAAAAACTTTTTGTGTAGAAACTGGGTCTTCCTATGTTGCCCAGGGTAGTCTGGAACTCGTGGCCTCAAGCTTTCCTCCCACCTCGGCCTCCCAAAGCGCTGGGATTACAGGCATGAGCCACTGTGCCCAGCCTTATTTTCTATTTTGTTAATTAACATCAGTGCCACAAGATGGTGCAGGACTTGCATTTGAAATTCAAGCAACTGGCCAAAGCTGTTCTGTATTTTACATGTGAACTAAACTACTATGACTAAGATGATCATCCCTCTGAGTAAATACTGTGCTGTTCCTGCTGTCTGAATTCTTGCAAGTCCTGTTCCTGTAGGGTTTTTCCCACAAATGGAATAAGAGGCTTTTTTTGATACATGAGTTGAGCCTGGGGGCCCCAGGCTGCTTGGACAGAGGCAGGGCTGAGTTTCACCTGATATGGGGTGACCAGAGGAAGGAAAAGGACCTGAGAGAGAGAGAGGGAAGGGTGGGGTGGCAGGAGAGAGAGATGCCCCGAGGAGGCACTGCCTCTTTTCCAGATAGAGGCCGGAAGAGAAGCTTTTCCTAGAACCGGGGTTGGAGCAGACACCTGTTTGGAGTAGTTCCTTGCTGGTTTCCTTCTTGTCCCAAGACATGATGTGCACTTCCATAGATGTGAAAGATTAGGCTCGTGTCGTACTCATTGAGCCTCAATTCTGGAGATGCAGGAATTCCCAGTAATTCTGAGGCAGTTGCCAATCCATCCCCAGCTCAGGTGCTATGATTGTGCTGTCCAGACAGTAGCTACTAGTCCCATGTGACTATTTATTTAATCTAAACTTAAACTAATTAAGATTAATTGCAGGCTGGGCACAGTGGCTCACACCTGTAATCCCAGCATTTGGGTAGCAGAGACCGGAGAATCAGTTGAGCCAAGGAGTTTGAGACCTTGTCTCTACAAAGCATAGTGAAACCTCATCTCTACAAAAAATAAAAAAATTAGCTGGGTGTGGTGGCGTGCACCTGTAGTCCCAGCTATTAGGGAGGCTGAGGTGGAAAGTTCACCTGAGCCCAGGAGGTCGAGGCTGTAGTGGCTGTGATCATGTCTCATGCCACTGCAGTCCAGTCTGGGCAAGAGAGTGAGACTATGACTCAAAAAAAAAAAAAAGATTAAATACTATTTAAATTTCAATTCCTCAGTTCCTCTAGCCACATTTTAAGTATTCAGTGTCTATATGTAACTAATGGCTACTGTCTTGAACAATGGGAACATTTTCATTATCACAGAAAGTTCTCCTTTTTTTTGAGAGGAGTCTCACTGTCACCCAGGCTGAAGTCCAGTGGCATGCTCACGGCCACCACAGCCTCAACCTGCTGGGCTCAGGTGACCCTTCTGCCTCAGCCTTCTAAGTAGCTGGAACCATAGGCGCATGCCACCACACCCAGCTAATTTTTTTTTAATTATAGAGATGAATGTTTACCAAGTTGCCCAGGCTGGTCTCGAACCTCTTGCCTCCACTTCCCAAAGTACTAGGATTACAGTCATGAGCTGCCACACCTGACCATAAAAAGTGCTCTTGAACAATATGGTTTCAGACAATCCTTACCAAAGTATATACTTTCCTGAGTTAGTGTTCACACCTAGAGGGCCTGAGGTTTATCAGAGGTCACAGACTTCATCCTGTATCGCTCATGCTGCTTTTTCAGTGACATGCTTGTTCAAGAGAAAACACTAAAGCACCCAACCTTTATCATAAAATAGCAATAATAATCACAATCTCAAGTGAAGGCCAGATGGAATGGCTCACGCCTACAATCCCAGCACTTTGGGAGGCCTAGGTGGGAGGATTGACTTGAGCTCAGGAGATCGAGACCAGTCTCGGCAACATAGCAAGAACTTGTCTCCACAAAAAAAAATGTTAAAGATTAGTCCCAGCTACTAGGAAGGCTGAGGTGGGAGGATCGCTCAAGTCCAGAGGATCACAGATGGGGCCGTTCGTGATCATACCACTGCACTCCAGCCTGGCAACAAAGTGAGACTCCAACTCAAGAAAAAAAAAAAAAAAGATCTCAAATGGATTGGGATTGAATTAAGTAATATGATTACAGCAACCTTCAAAAACATTTATATGTGGCCAGAAACAAATTATAAGTAAAATTCTAGACATTTTCTTCCAACGTGTGCCTCAGGCTGTTGTGTTTTATTTAGCACTTCTCTTGGAACGATCTTGCCCCCAACACTCTCCTGTGAAGCTGTCTAAGGCAGGTATCCACCTCTATCCCCCTCCCATCTATTCTCCCACCAAGGGCTTTTTCCTAGAGCTGCAAAGGTTATCATGCCCTCAGGGCTGTGATCCAACCTGAGCAAGCCATCCTCAGGGCTTTGGCTGTCAAAATGCTCAATAGGCTTTGCAGTCAGCAGAACAGGGTTCAATTCTGCCTGATCCAACTCCTGGGGCTAGAATACCAATATTGTCGGCATGGCAGTGATTTAAGGCAGTGTAGATAAAGCCCTCTACATCATTTAGTGAATATACAATAAATATGTTAATAATATACAGTTATACAATAATTAATAATATGCAATACAAATTTCCTGGGTTTTTTTTTAACTCGCTTTTATTTGTGGGGTGGTTTTCTCTTCCATTTTAATCCTTTGTTGGGAAGGAAATATCACTAGTTATTTTAACTATAATTAAACCTGTTTTCACTATATTTTAATTGCCATATGCAGTGTAAGCACCTTAAGGGCAGAAGCCTTGCCCTGTTCACTGCTATATACCCAACTTGAGAACAGTGCCAGGCACTTGGTAAGCAAGCAACAAACCCTTTTGAATGAACAAATCGAAGTTGCTAGAATTAAGGGGGGGAAGTTACTTCTCTCCTATGTTTTCAAAAAGTTATACAGTTAAGTATATATAACATAAAACCATTTTAATCATTTTTAAGTGTACAGTTCAGTGTCATTAAGTACATTCACAATGTTATGCAACCGTCACCATATGCATTTCCAGTACTTTTTCATCATCCTAAATTAAAACTCGGTGTCCATTAGACACTGATTCCCAGCCCCTGGTAACCTCTATTCTACTTTCTCTTTTTAATATTTAATTGTTGTTTTTGATTCAGGGATCTTACTCTGTAGCCTGGGCTGGAGTGCAGTGGAACAATCATGGCTCACTGAAGCCTCAAACTCCTAGATTCGGGCAATCCTTCTACCTTAGCCACCTGAGTTTCTGGAACTACAGACACATACCACCATGCCCAGCTTATTTTATTTTATTTTTTTTATTTTTATTTTTATTTTAGAGATATTGGTCTCTTCATGTTGCCCAGGCTGGTCTTGAACTCCTGGGCTTAAGCAATCCTCCTACCTCAGCCTCCCAAAGTGCTGGGGTTACAGGCATGAGCCACTGTGCTCGACCTATTCTTTTTTTAAAATTTTGTTTGTTGTCTTACTCTCGCCCAGGATAGAGTGCAGTGGCACACTCACGGCCACCTCAGCCTCAACCTGCTGGGCTCAGGCGATCCTTCTGCCTCAGCCTTCCAAGTGACTAGAACTACAGCCACGTGCCACCATGCCCAGCTAATTTTTTTGATTGATTGTAGAGATGAGGTCTCGCCAAGCTGCCCAGGCTGGTCTCGAAACTGTGGGCTCAGGCAATCCTCTAGCCTTAGCCTCCCAAAGTGCTGAGATTACAGGCATGAGCCACCGAGCCCAGCTTCTACTTTCTATCTCTATTAATTAGACCACTGTAAGTACCTCAAATAAGTGGAATCATGTAGTATTTGTCCTTTTGTGTCACGCATATTTCACGTGGGATGATGTTGTCAGCATTTGTCCACGCTGTAGCATGTGTCAGGATTGCATGCCTTTTTAGGACTGAATAATATTTCACTATATGTATATGCCATATGTTGTTCATCCATTTATCTACTGATGTCTTCCCTCTTTCCTCCAGCTCTTCAAGTTCATCAATTTCAACAGGACCATGAGCCAGCTATCCACAACCATGTCTCGGTGTGCCAAAGACCTGTTTGGCTTTGCTATCATGTTCTTCATTATTTTCTTAGCATATGCCCAGCTGGCATATCTTGTCTTTGGCACTCAGGTTGATGACTTCAGTACCTTCCAAGAGTGTATGTAAGTATACATGAAAGTAAGAAAAAAAATGTCATCAGAGATGTCACTGCCTTCTCAAAGATAAAGAAATCTGTATGGTTGCTATCTGACCACTGAGTGTTTAAAAATAGTTATTTCAAATAAGAATTAGTTACCTTTTCCAGAAACATTGACTACCCAATGCAAAGAAGGCAATACATTCTGAAATGCAGCTGCTGGCTGGACACTGGCTCACGCCTATAATCTCAGCACTTTTTTTTTAAACCAAGGTGAGAGGGTTGCTTGAAAGCAGCCCAGAGTTTGAGACCAGGCTGGGCAACATAGAAAGACCTTGTCTTTAAAAAAAAAAAAAAAATGAAATACTGCTGCTTAAGGTGGTAGTAGAATGTAGGATGTAATAGAATAGTCATAGTCAACCAACACTATTCCAAAGGCCGAGGTCAACTTAGCACCAAGTACAGATGGTTGCTTTTCAAAGGTCATTTGTCTCTTATTATTCCTGTGGAATATTGTTGCTATATAGTTTGAACTTCAAATTATTTTCTAAGAAAAAATTCTAGGATATGCTCAGTCTTTTTCCCAAGTTCCCAAATATGATACTAAAAAAAAAGCTAGTATCAGAATCCCATGCCATTTAGAAATGAGTTAGCAAAGGAGAAGTCCCTGATAATGGGTATTAATAAGGATTTGTGTGCAGGGATCCCTAACTAACGTTGTATTTCGTAAGTCAGAAATGGAAACAATTTTGCTGAGTAAAACTTGCAGGCAACACCCAGGCACTTTGACCTCATTCTGAGTGCATATGAAAATACTGGATCTTTGAACACAAACCATTTAGTTATCCTTCAAAAATCTTTTTTTTTAAAAGCCTGTACTGCTAAAAGAGCTAGAAATGTGAAATCATCTTTAACAAATGTATCATCAACAACTGGCCATTGTTTTCGTATTGTGGTGTTTTGTTTTGTTTTTATAGCTTCACTCAATTCCGTATCATTTTGGGCGATATCAACTTTGCAGAGCTTGAGGAAGCTAACCGAATCTTGGGACCACTTTATTTTACTACCTTTGTGTTCTTTATGTTCTTCATTCTTTTGGTATGTATATTTTTGTTTAAAGCGAGGTGATTTAAGCATCATGTTCATAAATCATCATCGTCTCTTTTTTCTCACACTGTATGCCTTATTTTAAATAAAGACCCAGGAAGTCAAAAAATGCAGATATTAGAAAACTTATTTTATTTTCCTTTTATTGATTCACAATGTTAAACCCTATTCAAATATCTTTTCTATTGATTCATGTATATGTGTCAAATATCTTTCATTTATCTATGTATATGTGTGTATTCAATGTAAAACCAAAGTTAGATCAAGTGCAGATTTACAAAGATACCTAAAATATATGGAGGAGGATAAATTCCTCTTTCTACTCCTAAAATAGTGCTCTGCCTAAAAGGTAGAATGTGCTCACATGTCTTTCTAACACACATGTCAGCACTTTCACAGTCACTTGCTGGCATGACTTTTCACTTTTCTCTTTCCTCTTTTCTTTTTAAAAAAGAAGAAATGACAAAGCAAGTTAGACCCAGAATGTCCAGAGTCATATTTCAGTGCCTTCTTACTTGTCAAGATTAAGATATTCTGTTTTAACTTGTTTATATTTCACATATCTTGAGACTGGCTACAAAGATTTAAATATTAAGTTTAAAACTAAATTCACAAAGAATGGAAATTGCTTTAAAAACAAATTTCAGAAATAATTTTCTTATTCTCTTGATTTGTCACAAATGAACATTTCTAATGTTTTTGCCTTAAGTTAGTTAAGGTTTTTTTAAAAAAGATGTTTTGGGGCCAGGCGCAGTGGCTTATGCCTGTAATTCCAACACTTTGGGAGGCCAAGGTGAGAGGATTGCCTGAGCTCACGGGTTTGAGACCAACCTGGGCAACTTGGCGAGACCTCATCTCTACAATAATCAAAAAATTAGCCAGGCAGGGTCGCGCATACCAGTGATTCCAGCTACTCGGGAGGCTGAGGTGGAAGGATTGCCTAAACTCAGCCAATTGAGGCTGCAGTGGCTGTAATCATGCCATTACACTCCAGCCTGGCTGACAGAGTGAGACTCCAACTCAAAAAAAAAAAGAAAGAAGAAAAATAAAAATAAAATTGGCTGGGCACAGTGGCTCATGCCTGTAATCCCAGCACTTTGGGAGGGTAGGGAGGGAGAATCACTTGAGACCAGACGTTCAAGACCAGCCTGGACAACATAGTGAGACCTTGTGTCTACAAAAGAAAAAATACAAAAATTAGCTAGGCATGGTGGCACACACCTGTAATCCCAGCTACTGAGGAGAATGAGGCAGGAGGATCACCTGAGCCCAGAAGGTTGAGGCTGTGGTAAGCTAGGATCACACCACTGCACCCCAGCCTGGATGACAAGAGTGAGATCCTGTCTTTAAAAAAAAAAAAAAAAACAGCCGGGCTCAGTGGCTCAGCCTGTAATCCCGCGCCTTTGGGAGGCTGAGGTGAGTGGATTGCCTGAGCCCACGGGTTCGAGACCCACCTGGGCAGCGAGACCTCATCTCTACAATAAATCAAAAAATCAGTCAGGCGTGGTAGCGCATGCCTGTAATTCTGGCTACTTGGAAGGCTGAGGCAGAAAGATTGCCGGAGCCCAGCAGGTCGAGGCTGCGGTGGCCGGGAGCGGCTAACTGCACTCCAGTCTGGGCGACAGAGTGAGACTCCAACTCAAAAAACAAAACAAAACAAAAAAAACAGGGAAGAATAAGCCTTTGTTTTATTCTCTAGCATCTGTAGTACTTTGCGTCCAGGAACCCCTGAATCTCTGTTAAGAGCGCAGAAACCAGGAATGGAGAGTCCTGCAGCCGAGACTTCAGTGGCCCTCAGGCCACCTGGCTTTCTAGGTAGATCAGTCTTTCAGTAGAAGAACAGAATCATGGCCATGGAAATGCTGGTTTCCTTCTCAATTAGGCTGCACCTTCTCAATTGTTCAGTCATTTTATCACATCAGGCACCAGAATGAATTATTTTATACTAAAATAACATTTTATACTACTGCACAAAAAGGAATTGCTCTCCTCGTACCCCAGAGAGTCAGACAGACAGAGACAAAAAGAGAGAGACAGAGACAGAGAGAGAGAGAGAGAGACAGAGAACACTGAGTATAGACCTAGCCACCTTACCGAGCCAGCTGCCTGGTGTTCATTTATTGTTCCAGTTTAACCGGAAGTCACAGTGGTGTGAAATGGCTCAGCGAAGGCAGGAAGCACTCATACTTTCCTCTCCCCATCAACAAGGAAAGACCTCCTAGGGCAGACGTCAGTCTGACAGTTAAGTGAACCTTGTCAGGCAGCCTGGGAGAGGTGGGTGAACTTCCTTTTCCTATACCTTCAAGAGCCCCTTTCTCAGCCTCTTCCTGTATGTCTTTTTTTTTTTTCTTTTTTGAGTCAGAATCTCACTCTGTCACCCAGGCTAGAGTGCAGTGGCACAATCACAGCTCACCGCAGTCATGACCTCCTAGACTCAGGCAATCCTTCCACCTCAGCCTCCTGAGTAGCTGGGATTACAGGTGCATGCCGCCACATACAGCTAGTTTTTTTGTTGTTTTTTATTTTTGTTTTTTTGTGGAGACGGTGTCTAACTATGTTGCCCAGGCTGATCTCAAACTCCTGGCCTCAAGTAGTCCTCCCATCTCAGTCTCCCAAAGTGCTGGGATTATAGGCATAAGTCACCATGCCCAGGCCACTTTTTATTTTTCAAAATCTCCTCAGAAGACACACACTTTGATCCATTTCAACGGAGACATTTGCAGGCATTAGTTGATGGTATTTGGAAGCAAAACTAGAACATTAGATGCCTGGATTAGGAGGGAGGAGGTGGAAGTTGTTATTCCAACTCCATTATCTGCCCTTGGAATTGCGCATTTAGGCAAAAATTTATATGAATTCTATATTCTCATTTCTGCTACAGAATCTTCCTTCATTGATAGAGATTCAGTAGCCCATTAAAATAAGAGAGTCCTATTTGTTCATTTGTCAATCACTTAATATTTACTGAGCCAAGGTTTTCCTATATACATTTATAGATAGTATATAATACAGATTGTAGTAGTTTGTGTTTATTGTATACTATGAGGCACTGTGTTAGAGACTGAGGATATTGTGGTAAAGAAAACAGAACCACTCATCCCCTGTAAAGAGTTCCGGGACTCATGGAGAAACAGATGTATTGAAATACACAGCTCTGCAGTTACAATTCATAGTGAGTTGCTAAAAAGGAAAAACAAAGAAAGAGCATGCAGAAAAGGACCCTGATCTGTAGGGTGCAGGGCACCAAGAAAATCTGTTGAAAAAAAGTGCTGGAAATACAAACGGAGTCTTCTGAGGAAGAGAATCTCAGGAAAATGAACACAATGTGACTGAATAATAATATAGTAGCTATCAAATAGGTAGCACCTGGGTTAGGACCTTGCTAAGCACTTTACATGGATTGTCTCATGAACCCTCAAATCTGTAAGGGAGAAATTATTCGATTTCCCCTTTTAGATGCAACATAAACATAAGTACAGAAGTCCCCTACGTACCAACAAGTTCCATTCTGAGAGCATGTTCATAAGTCTGATTTGTTCATAAGCCCCACAAATTTAGCCTGGGTACCTGACTAACAATCAGCTATACTATAATAGGTTTATTATTCTTTTTCACACAAATAATGCATAAAAACAAATATACAGTACTGTACAATAAAGTACATAAAAGCACAACCACTTGTAGAGGTTGTGTACCCGTGACAATGGACACCAGACATGTTAACTCATGTGATGGGACATGCAAACACACATTCACATCTTTGAAAGTTCACAACGTGAAGGTTCGTATGTAGGGGACTTACTATAAATAAATCTTAAAAATTAGACATAGAAGCCGGGCTCGGTGGCTCAGCCTGTAATCCCGCGCCTTTGGGAGGCTGAGGTG